CCCCTCTTGCTACTGCTTTGGACACAAACTGATTTCCTCTTGGGTTGGTGTAGCTGTGTTCCCCTCAGTCCCTTGCCCATCAGGTCTCTGTCATCTGGGAAGATACTCCTGGGGCATTGCGTGTGTCAGCCAGGCATGGGCAAGAGATGCCCTTAGTTGTTTCTGAGTCATGATGTTTTTATTGTTTCGAGAGAATGACTTGTCACAACAAGTCTCCAGCTGGACAGAGAGGGTTCTAGGAGGCATCTTCACAGCTGTTTTCCACTTGTCACTTTTACAAACAGGCAATGGGAAGCGTGTTTATGGCCTAGTCTTGCACATTGTCAGATATCTTCAGCACCCCATGACAAGTGCAAAATCCCAAGTTTCTTTTTCGGGGTATGTGTGTCCCTGGATATTGAACCTGGGGTGCTCTACAACTGAGTTACACCCCCAGCCCTTTTTTAATTTTGAGACAGGGTCTAAGTTGCTGAGGCTGGCCTCAAACTCGTGATCCTAGTGCCTCAGCCTCCTGAGTTGCTGGGATCACAGGCATGGCCATTGTGTCCAGTTCCACCTTCCGTTCTTGGGGCTATCTGGGAAGTGTTCACACCCTCCCATCTCCTGGTATCCCAAGCTTGTGGTGGGACAAGGCTCCAACTGGGCCTGCCTGCCTGCCTGTCCACCAGCATCCCAATCAGAAGATGAGTTGAAACAACATCTTTTTCCCTAGTGGGATTGGTGCAGTCAGCAGGACACATGCAGAGAACTGGGCTAGTTTATCCTGTCTGTGCCCAGGCACCTGTTTCCAGGACCCACAACCCCCTCCTTGGCTTAGGGGAAGGGACATCTTTGCTCGTGGTGGGTCTCTCTCTACTAGGTGCATTCTGGGAGTGCTGGATCTCCTCCAAGCAACTTCATGGAGGGGGGTTGTTACCCTGTCAGGCTGACCTCAGGCTGAGCAGCTCCCTGCTGGTCCCTTGGGGCCTCTGTGTTGATTTTCCTCAGTGTTGGTTGGCTCTGGGGCTTAGCCCAGAGCAGCAGTTCCCATGCCAGGGGCAGGGATGGTCTGGACAGTTCCAGGGCATTTAGAAGTCTCCCTCTTAGGAATCCTTGCAGGCAGGGCTGTGGTGCAGCCCAAGGCTTATGTTGACCTGCCTCTCCTTAGGCAGTGGGCACATCAAAGAGGTCATTGTGGCTGCTGAGGCAGAGCCAGGGAACAACGAGATGGCTGAGGCCCCAGGCAGTCCCAACCATCAGGGGCTCGGGCTTGCTGGGGAGGGCGAGCAGGCCCAAGTCAAGCTGCTGGTGAACAAGGAAGGCCGCTACGTGTGCATGCTGTGTCACAAGACCTTCAAAACGGTGAGCCCCTGGGGCCACGGGCCGGCCAGGCCTCCTGCCTGCTCCTGTCTGGGGAGGTGCCCTGAGCCTTGCTGCCCCTCCCCTGCAGGGCAGCATCCTCAAGGCCCACATGGTCACCCACAGCAGCCGCAAGGACCACGAGTGCAAGCTCTGCGGGGCCTCCTTTCGGACCAAGGGCTCACTCATCCGGCACCACCGACGGCACACTGGTGAGCAGCCTGGGGCCTGGCCCTGGGGACACCCTACCCAAGCCTTGTGTCCCTAGCTCCCTGGCAAAGTGGCAGGGGTTCCATGCCCGCCTCATCCTTGTTACAGGTTGTCATTACCCCAGGGCTGACTCCATTCTCTCCACAGATGAGCGCCCCTACAAGTGCACCAAGTGCGGGAAGAGCTTTCGGGAATCGGGTGCGCTGACCCGTCACCTCAAGTCTCTCACCCCATGCACAGAGAAAATCCGCTTCAGCATGAGCAAGGATGTGGTTGTGGGCAAAGAGGACGTATCTGCAGGTGAATATGGTGGGGAGGCTGCCTGGGTTCCTGGAGCTGCTGTTCCTGGCCTTAGCTGCGGGCACAGGTGCCACCAGTGGGGGTGTTCTTCAGAGACTCACTTGACTCTGCCTTAAAGGGTCGGGCACCTCCACCGTGGGGCCGGTTACTTCATCATCAGTGACAGGCGAATCCATGGAGACRTCACCTGTGATTCACCTGGTGACAGATGCCAAGGGCACCGTCATCCATGAAGTCCATGTCCAGATGCAGGAGCTGCCCCTGGGCATGAAAGCTTTGGCTCCAGAGGTAGGGGCTGGCTCAAGGAGCCCTGCAGTGCCACTTCCCTTCTGCCTGCTCAGTGCCAGGTTGTGTGTAGGGCACTGGCTCCAATAGGAATAGGAGGTTTGGGTCTACCTCTACAGCTGTTTGCAGGGGAGGTGGGAAAGCTTCTTAGCAAATAGCATGTCAGAAGGAAAGTGATCTGGGGGGGTCAAGGCGTGACAGGGAAGGACTTGGCTTCATCCTATGAGATTCTGAGGATGTATACAAGACCTTGGGGGACCCTGGGCTTGGCATGGGTCTGCCTTGTGTGGTGGGAGGGGTGGGTGTTATGTGTTGGGCTGTGTGGTCAGCCTCTTTCCTTCTGCCTCCCTGAAGCCCCCAGCTCCTGAGGAGCTTCCCTGTTCTCGTGAGGGCAGTCGTGAAAACCTGCTGCACCAGGCCATGCAGAACTCTGGCATTGTTCTTGAGAGAGTTGCTGGAGAGGAGGGTGCCCTGGAAGCAGCCCCTGCCTCTGGGTCCAGTCCACAGCCCCTGGGAGATAGATCCCCGGAATTGCCACTGCTGGAAGTGGAGCCGATGGAGACAGTAGGTGTTTGTGCTGCTGGGATGCTCCTTTGTGGGTTGGACACTGGTGCCTCCTTGCACTGCCTGTGGCATAAAGTAGCATTGCTTTCTGGAGTGACTGTCCACTGGCCTATTTCTGCCCTCTCTGGTGCTGCGAGGCAGACTGCCAGGATGGGGCCCTGGGCCTTGTCTTTGGCACTGCAGGGGTAGAGCCTGCAGTGGGTATTAGATGCCTGCCTGTGATTCCCCAGCAGATGTCCAGCGAGGCTTCCACTGTGCCCAAGACCCACCCATGCCCTCAATGCAGTGAGACCTTCCCAACAGCAGCCACCCTGGAGGCCCATAAGAGAGGCCATGCAGGTGGGTGGCAGGAGGGTGGATGGGTCCGTGGACAGTGAGGAGCAGGTGGGCTGTGGGCAGCGGGCCTGGCTGATGCTGGCTTGGCCGCAGGGCCAAGGCCCTTCCCCTGTGCGCAGTGTGGCAAGGCCTTCCCCAAGGCCTATCTGCTCAGGAAGCACCAGGAGGCGCATGTGCACGAGCGCCGCTTCCGCTGCGGGGACTGCGGGAAGCTCTACAAGACTGTCGCCCACGTGCGCGGCCACCGGCGCGTCCATTCAGATGAGCGGCCCTTCCCTTGTCCCCAGTGTGGCAAGCGCTACAAGACAAAGGTGGGCTTCCGGCCCCAGGATCCTGGCGCTGACCCCATCCTCAGCTCCCTGTCCCTGGGGCCAGATGGGCCTTGTTCCATGCCCCAACTTCCTTCCTTACCCCAGCCTACCCAGTTGGCTCAGGCCAGGGGTGGGTGGGGAGAGCCCTGGCTTCCTGTGGCCAAGGTCAGGCTGTCATGGACTGGTCTCTGCAGAATGCCCAGCAAGTGCACTTCCGAACACACTTGGAGGAGAAGCCACATGTGTGCCAGTTCTGTAGCCGAGGATTCCGGGAGAAAGGCTCATTGGTGCGGCATGTGCGGCATCACACAGGCGAGAAGCCCTTCAAATGCTACAAGTGCGGCCGTGGTTTTGCTGAGCATGGCACACTTAACCGGCACCTGCGCACCAAAGGTCTGGGCCGGCAGATGGTGGGAGGAGGTGAGGCTGGGGGTCACTGAACCCTGACTGAGCTTCCTGCTGGCAGGGGGTTGCCTTCTGGAGGTGGAGGAGGTGCTGGTGTCAGAGGAGAGCCCCTCAGCAGCTGCCACCGTGCTTGCGGAGGACCCCCACACAGTGCTGGTAGAGTTCTCATCTGTGGTGGCCGATACCCAGGAGTACATCATTGAGGTGCGTGGCAGGCCTGGTGGGGATGGGATGGCACTGGGACAGCCCAGGCTGACCTCAGATGTTCTGCCTAGGCCACTGCAGATGACACAGAGACCACTGAAGCCACAGAGATCATTGAGGGCACCCAGACAGAGGTGAGGGGCTTGGCAAGGAGTGGGAGGGCAGCCTGGCCTCCTGGACACCTTGGGCTGAGCTGTGGCCCTGCAGGTGGACAGCCACATCATGAAGGTGGTACAGCAGATTGTGCACCAGGCCAGCGCTGGGCACCAGATCATCGTGCAGAATGTGACCATGGACCAGGAGGCAGGACTGGGTCCAGAGGCAGCTGCTGCAGACACGATCACCATCGCCACCCCCGAGAGCCTGACTGAGCAGGTGGCCATGACACTGGCCTCAGCCATCAGTGAGGGTACTGTGCTTGCGGCTCGTACAGGTGCAAACGGCACTGAACAGGCTACTGTAACAATGGTGTCATCAGAGGACATTGAGATCCTTGAGCATGCAGGCGAGCTGGTCATTGCCTCACCAGAGGGCCAGCTTGAGGTACAGACGGTCATCGTCTAGCATGGGACCTGTGGGATCCCAGCTAGGCTGGGAAAGGGACAGGGTTATCCTTGTACTGGTCCCGACCTGAGTGCCCAGGACTGCCTGGCCTGGTAGAGAAGACTGCCCAGAATTTCAGGTGTTCAAATCAGACGGGGAATGTAAATATGTGTTTTTTGTTTCTTTACAATAAAACATGAATAAAATATGTAGCTTGTGATGTTGGGGCCTGGTACTGCCTTCACAGGTACTGCTGGTGGCCCCCATCTGCCCAGGCAGTCCTCTAGGTTTCTGTGCCTGGCCAGTAACTCAGGGCTTCTGCCAGCCCTGGTGCCTCAATGGTGTGGGTGTCACTGGTATGTTGATGGGCAGCCTCCTGCCACTCCCTACCCACCTGTGATCCCASCTTCCCCAGGCCTGGGGCAGGGGGAGGAGACAGGTGCTGCCTCCCAGCCTCCTACCTACAGCTGCCTTTGGAAGGCTGAGAGAACCAGGAGCCTCAGGTTGGGCTGAGAAGCCTCAGCTTTTCATGGAGGTGAAGACAGTGCTGACCAGGCAGCAAGAGAGGCTGGGCCAGGAATGGGACTGGTCTTTACTGTCGTGCTGCCTGTTCCAAGAGGATGTGGCTCAAGAAGGCAGATACTGGGTGACCTAGTTTCTGGGAAGGTGGAGACAAGAACAAGCCTGGACCATGGGTGTGGCTGTCCCTCTAACACAATCCTGAGACTTCCTTGGGGGGCTATCAGGGGCTTTGGGGATGTTCTGGGACAGACCTGGGCACTAGAACTTGCTCAGGGTAGGTTCTTTCTCTTGCCCTCTGGGGGGTCTCCATGAGAATGGGAGTCAGGAGTTGTAGCATCCACTCCATGGAGGGGGTGGGGCTCAGTTATAGCCCAGCCCCTTCCTGAACCAGGGCCTCAAATAGTAGCCAGTGCCCTGGGGCCAGAGCCAGTTGTCAACCAAGACCAGGCAAGTCTGTCCAGGGCCAGCCACAGGCCTCCAGAAGGAACCTGTATCCCTCCTTGGACCAGGACCCCTGAGCCTCTGACACCGCCTCTTATCCACATCCAKGTAAGTTTTGAGGCTGAGTTGAACTGGGGACTGGGTGGGAATGGCATCCTGACTTGGGACCTCAGTTTCTCCATCCAGTGGGAGACTGGTCATGGGGCTAAGAACCCATCCCGAGGAGACCTGGAAAGTGCAGTAGAAAGTGCTTTTGCTCAGGCCAGTGCTGGGCCACAGACCCCTCCTGGACCATAGCTGGGTGAGGATTGGTGTTACTGGCCATTCCATCTGTCCTTTCCAGCCCACCTCCCTGGTGCCATGGGCAGGCCCTGGGTCCTGCTGGCAATGCTCTGGGCACTGTGGGCCAAAGGGGCAGCAGCGCTGCGCATTGGAGCCTTCAACATCCAGAGCTTTGGTGACAGCAAAGTGTCTGACCCAGCCTGTGGCAGCGTCATCGCGCAGGTGAGGCTTGGGGGCTGGAGGCGGGGCTGCAGCTGGGCTTTGTGGGCCAGTCAGTGGGGCTGCTCACAACTCTGCACCCGCGGTCTCCTCCGCCAGATCCTGGCTGGTTACCACGTCATGCTGGTACAGGAGGTGCGTGACCCGGACCTGAGCGCAGTGTCAGCGCTCATGGAGCAGATCAACAGGTGCAGTGGGCAGGGTCTAGCGCCATGACCCCTTGCTGCGAGGACAGGCTTCATGCCTTGACCTGGGGCCTGGCATATCTCTCCACAGCGTGTCGAAGCATGAATACAGCTTCGTGAGCAGCCAGCCTCTGGGTCGGGACCAGTACAAGGAAATGTACCTGTTCATCTATAGGTGCGCTTGTGGACTGTAGGTAGGGAGGGGGCGTGAGGGGCCAAGGTGGCGGCTCAGTGGACCGCCGGTTCTCTGCTCCCAGGAAAGACAAAGTGTCGGTTGTGGACACTTACCAGTACCCGGACCCCGAGGACGCCTTCAGCCGCGAACCTTTCGTGGTCAAGTTCTCGGTCCCCGCCACAGGTGAGGCCAGCCCCGCCCCTACTCCCGTTCCATCCTGTCCCCTCCCGCCCTAACACCGCCCCGCCCCCACAGCTGTCAAGGAGCTGGTGTTGATTCCACTGCACGCTGCGCCACACCAGGCGGTGGCAGAGATCGACGCCCTCTACGACGTGTACCTGGACCTGATTGAGAAGTGGGGCACCGACGTAAGCCCCGCCCCCCATCCCATAGGCGAGCTCTGGCAGTCTGGGCCTGCGGGCATGCAGCTCAGACCCAGCTTGGTGGCCCCCGCAGGACATGGTTTTCCTGGGCGATTTCAATGCGGACTGCAACTACGTKCGGGCACAGGACTGGGCGGCCATCCGACTGCGCAGCAGTGAGGTCTTCAAGTGGCTCATCCCGGACAGCGCTGACACCACGGTGGGCAACTCCGACTGTGCCTACGACCGCATTGTGGTGTGCGGCGCCCACTTGCGCAGGAGCCTGAAGCCTCAGTCAGCCTCGGTGCATGACTTCCAGGAAGAGTTTGGCCTGGACCAGGCCCAGGTCGGTGCAGGCAGGGGCAGTTCCCATCCCTGGGCCTGAAAGACCCTGGCATACATGGTTGTGAGGGCCTGCTAGTCTGTTCCTGCTTCAGACAGGCGGTTTACAGTTAGCACTTTCCACCCTACAACGGCACTCACAGTCAAGGATCCCTAGACCTTCAGGGTGTGCCCCCCATCCCCAGTCTGGGAATAGCCTCAGGGGAGGACACCCAGGTGGTTCCAATTCAGGGGAGGGGGACAAGAAACAAGCTGCCTAGCAGGATGGCTGAAGTTCTGTCCCCTTTTCTTTCAGGCTCTTGCCATCAGTGACCATTTTCCAGTGGAGGTGACCCTCAAGTCCCACTGACAGCCCTGTGGCTAGGCTAGGGCACATCACCTGCAGACTTGGCAGCACTGTGGATCATTTGGGGTAGCAGAAGAATGAACGCAGGGAAGGGTCAGCTGGGTGTGAAAGGGTGGCACAGTCACATTACAGTACTACTCAGAGCCTCAGTGTCCCATCTGTAAGAAGGGCTAACACCACCTACCTCAGAGGGTTGTTGTGAGGAGTACCCTCCAAAGTTGCCTAGCTAGTGCCTGGAACATGTCTGGGTAATAAACAAGCCACTGGGCCAGGACCACTCTTGGGCTGACTCTGAGGCCTCTGTCTCTTTTTAGGACTTAGCCCTTCTTTGATGCAAGCCTTGGCCCTACAACCTGGTTAGGTCCATGATCTCCGTCCTCTTAGGGAACAGGGACAGCTTGGCCTGCCCAACTCATGTCCTCATGGAAACTGGCCATCTCCAAACCATGCTGGCCTGGAAGTCAGCTCAAGGAAGTTCCCTTCTCTTTGTGCAAACTGCAAAAACCCACACTGTGAGCACAGCTGGGCCCTCTGATTTAAGAGTAGAGCTCTGCCCATCTTGCCGTCTAGAGCCTTATCTGAACCAGAGGCCCTGTTTCACCCAGTGTTACAGGGGAGACTCAGGAAGCTGGTCCCATGCTCTAGCCAGTCAGCTCCCCTGCAACTTTTGAGGGCCCTTGAGGATGGGCTGGTTGCTTGGGGCTAAGGTCCTGCCCAAGGAACACACACCTCACCTGTGCACAGCCTGTGTAGGTCTTCGGAGTCCTGGACTAGCAGGGACCTGGAGGATGGGGGCCTGTGTGGGACAAGCATCACCTCAGGAGTAGATGAGCAGCTCCGAGAGCAGGGCTGGAGGCTCCTGGTGTTGGGACACTTCATTCTGGCAGGACTGGGGGATGCAATTGAATTCTATGGCAGGGGAATCTTTCATCTCAAGATGAAAGATTGGAGAATTAGAATTCTCAAGATGTAGGACCTTGGCAGCACCACATGCTTCAGAATAAGCCATGCTTCCCTTGTCCCTCCCAAGTTTGTCCAGACCCTCCATCCAAATGAACAAGCATGGTGGCCAAGGGCTTTTCTCCAGTGGTCTTGTGGGTCACTGGGGTCTGAGACTACCTAGCTTTGAAGGTCTCCAACAAGCAGGCAGCCAAAGGTCAGGAATGGGACAATGTGAGGACTTTATTCGGTTTTCCTTTGGGAAAAGGGACACTCAGTGTGACCTTGTCCAGGGCCCTGAGCAGCCTACCTGTCATTCAGTTCTAAAGTATAGATCCTGTCTAGCTGGCAGAAACAAGGCCATCGGTGGTGATGGGGCCTTGAGACTCAGGGCTACAAGGGGCAGGACTTTCTGTCTAAGATGAGGAAAACAAAAGCTGAGAGGACTTTAAAAATAAAAAATACCTTGTTTAAAATCCCTTTGGGACCACTAGGCCCCCACAGGGCACAAATGACCAAGTGGCAGCCTCACCCTAGCCTTTCTTTTGTTTGAGTTTTTCTAAGTACACCTGCAGGGATTTCTGGATGGAGTCTCTGGAGATGAAGCTGATAAAGTTCTGGAGGTCAGCCTCGCGCTGTTTGATCATGTGGTCCACTGTGGCCTTTCGCATCATGATCTTGGTCAGCTGTCGAGCGTAGTCTAAAGAAAATGGGATCCCCTGTGAAAACCCATTTTTGGAGATAGAAAGATTGGGAATTATCTCACTATGAGTGTTCAAATGGAAACTCTTCTAAAGAACTTAGAAAACGCAGATGAGCTGAGCATGGTGGCACACGGATGTAATTCCATTGGCTTGGGAGGCTGAGACAGGAGGATTACAGGCTCAAAGCCAGCTTCAGTAACTTAGAAAGGCCCTAAGCAACAGAGAAACTCTGTCTCAAAAAATAAAAAAGGGACAGAGATATGGCTCAGTGGTTAAGTGCCTTTGTGTTCAATCCCTGGCACTGCCCCCGCCCCGCAAAATAAATAGAAGGAAGTCACCTGTTTCCACTGATTTCTCCAAAACACAATTAGAATGACATTGTAAAAGTTGCTTTTTAGCCTGTTATTTTCACAGAATTTTACTATTGAGAATATTTTCCATCACTAAATATTCATTGTGTGTTCCTATTGGGAGGTGGCAAACTGGCTTCCCAAGAGGCGGGGGGCACTGGCTCCTAGAGATATGAATGGTCTTTACATTTTTAAATAGTAGGGAAAAAAAAGAAAGAATATCATATGATGACAGAAGTATGAGATACTCATTTTTGTGTCCTGCATTTCACTGGAACATAGCTGCAGCCACCAGCTCCTGCTCCCTGGGGTGCCCTCCTGCTGCAGGGCCACTTGACAGGGGCCTGTGGCCTCTCACGCTGACCAATAGCCTGGCTCTTCACGGACAAGGTCTATGGTCCCTGCTCTGTACCATGGTTGAGGTGACCAACCCTATATCTATAAACAGACTGGGAGATTCCCTTTGTCTTTGTAGTGGGCTGAAGAGCAGTGGGACCCCAAAAAGACTGTGCTCAAGTCCTGACCCCCACTCCAGAACCTGCCAAGTGACCTTACTGCCCAAATTCCAACCCCACTCCAGAACCTGCCAAGTGACCTTACTGCCCAAGACCTGACCCCATTCCAGAATGTGCAAAGTAACCTTCATGGAAAAAAACCTCTGCAGCTATAAATGAGATGACACCCAAAGGCTGGGGTGTGGCCCAGGGGTACAGGCTTGTGAGACTCTGGGTTCCACCCCCAGCACTGCAAAAATAAATAAAGATGAGATCATGCTGGATACAGAGAAGGCCCTAATCTGATGGCAGGTGCCCTGAGGGGAGAGAGGAAGATCTGAGACACAGGGGACAAGACCACATGAGGAAGTAGGCAGACTGGAGCAATGCAGCCACAGCTGAGGAATGCCTGCAGCCACCTGGCTGTCCAGCTGCTGGTGGAGCTCTGATGGCACTTTGATTTTGATTTTGGACCTTGTCTCTAGGATCGTGAGAGTAAATTTTCTGTGGCTTCAAGCCACCTAGACAGTCCTGTGTCATGGCAGCCCCAGGGCACCAACACAGCCTGCTGTTGTGAGCAGCCCTGCACACGTTCAGGACGTTCACAGAGCTGACCTCACCAGATGGGTCATCTGAGGGGAGGAGAAGGTAGAGGGAGGGTGCTGCGGTCCTGCTCGGCTCCCCTTGCTCCTCACCTGGAATGGCCATCCACTGGCTCATCATTGAGAGTGCTGTGCTCTGCACCTGATCCTCAGGCACCACCTGGTCCACCATACCCACCTGGAGGGCCTCTGCTGGCGGGAAAAGCAGCCCCAGCTGTAGAGCACGCTCTGAGGCTCGGTGCCCGATGGTATTCACCAGGGTGTCTTTGAACCTGGAATGCAGATACCTGCTTACTCTGGGGCTCCAAGGAGGGTGTGTTCCATCCAGGGTCAGGTAGTGTGGGAACAGTCCTGGCCTTACCAGAAAGGGGCTATGATGCCCAGCAGGGTCTCGTTTAGTCCCATGACGTACTTGGGGTTGTCCGCCAGTATGCGGTAGTCGCAGGTAAGGGATATCAAGCAGCCTCCAGCGGGGGAGGCTCCCTGCAGGGAGAGGCCAGACAGTGAGGGCTCTGGAGGTGCTGCTGTCCCAACAGTTCCCTAGGGGGCCAGGGCCCAAGGATGCCCCAGAACACCCCAGGAAGGGCCTGGGGGTGGGCATGAGCTCACAGGGTACCCCAGCACCCCCTCCTTGGGTGCTGCATCAACAATCTGCCTTGAAAGTGCATGATGGAGAGAAGAAACTGGCCCTTTAGGGGTCAGTAGCAAGGGTTTCTGCAGGGGCTCAGGTTTTCAGGGGCCAGAAAAACACTTGTTAACTTCTTGTTGTTGGCACTAGAGATGAACCAAGGGCCTCGCACTGAACCCAGTCCAGCACTCTACTACTCACCTACACCCCCAGCCTCTTTTATTTTGAGACCGTCTTGTTAAGTTTTCCAAGTTGGCCTCAAACTTTTTTTTTTTTTTTTTTAAAGAGAGAGTGAGAGAGAGAGGGGGACAGAGAGAGAATTTTAACATTTATTCATTTTTTCTTAGTTCTCGGCGGACACAACATCTTTGTTGGTATGTGGTGCTGAGGATCGAACCCGGGCCGCACGCATGCCAGGCGAGCACGCTACCGCTTGAGCCACATCCCCAGCCCCAAGGCCTCAAACTTTTGAACCTCCTGCCTCAGCTTCTCAAATAGCTGGTGATTACAGGCTTGTGCCACCATGCCCTGCTAGAAAAATCACTTTTCCTAAACCTCTGGTTAGGAAAATAAGTGGCTTTCCCCAGGAACCCAATTTATACTATGCCACCAGCATCTCTTCCCTCCCTGGAGCACAATGATTCCTGAAGATGACCCTKTCCCCTTCCGCAGCCTCTTGTCTTCCCCAAGACTGGCTGAACAATGTTTCCAAAATGTAGATTTGGCCCACCACTCCCTCCAGACCCAGCCTGCAGCGGGTGGATCTTTTTTTTTTTCTTTCTTTTCTTTTCTTTCTTGCTTTAAGATACACTTTTTTTATACCTTTATTTTATTTATATACTGTTTTATATGGTGCTGAGGATCCAACCCAGGGCCTCAAATGTGCTAGGTGAACGCTCTACTGCTGAGCCACTACCCCAGCCCTGGGTGGGTCTTTTTCCATTCCTGGCCCAGGTGGTGTTGGCCCCCCACCCTAGGTTAGTCCCAAAGAGCCACAGATGACCCTGTGGGGTGGGTACACTCACATTGATGGCGGCAACCAGCACCAGGTTGGATGGGTAGAGCCTTAGCCACAACTCCTGCACAGCCTTCCAGTACTCAGCGTAGTGGGCTGGGTTCTTCCCGCACATCTCTGTCAGGTCCAGGCCAGCTGAGAAGACGCCAGGACGGTCCTGGGGGGAGTGGCCAGGGCCAGGATGTGATGCTCAAGGTGGCAGGATGCTGCCCGCAAAGAGCCTAGACCTCCCCCTGACCCAGCTTCCACTTCTCAGTTTCAAACTGGAAAAGACAGAACAGGGGTCTGGCACTACCTCAGAGACATGGACCTACCAGCTCTCTGCAGGTGTGTGCACACACTTGTGTATATCCTGGCACACATGCTCTCTGCATGTCTGTGCACGACTCTGTGCACACCTGTGTGTTCACCTCCCCAGGCCAAGTTCTCTGTCATTCAGACTGAAGAACTCAGGTAGAGTAAGGGCTCCTGACAGACCCTGGAGGGCGTACATGTTTTTGTTTACCTCCAAAGTATCAAATGAGGCCCAAGGAGTGCTGGGGGTAGAATAATCTAGAAGGTATCTGCAGTGGAGGTCCCAACACAGCTACCCAGGAGTGGAAGAGAAGCTCCTGGCTGGACAGTAGCGTGCATCAGGGTCTGCACCAAATCCTGCATTTGGTCAAGGATTTTGGGAAAACCCACACCTGGTGCTCCTCTGAGGCCTCAGCACCTCCTCTCTATGGGCTGGAGCTTCTGACTTCTGGGGTGGAAGACTTGTTATGGGGCATACCCACCCCACCCCAACTCCCAGGAGCACAGCTGGACAAGTGTCTGCCCTGTGCCATGTGTAACCAGGAAGACATAGAGGTATGAAGGGAAGCGGCCACAAGGTGTGGAGCGAGCCCCCTCAACAGGTAGACATGCATCGTGTGTGCATGATACGCYTGGGCTGATCTGCTTCTGTTCCCGTGAAATGCCTTCCACTTCTGTAACTTAAAAAGAGCCAACAAAGACGAAAAGATTAGTGACTGATACACTAATCAACTGCTTCTACTGGGAAATAGGTATACGGGACCCCTCATGACACCCCCTGTGCTGGCTGCAGAAGACAGCAGAGGGGACAAGGCAGAAGGGATGACAACCATTTGGCAGGATAAAAAACAAAACACAAAAACAAACAATATCCTTGAATGTGGCCTTATGTGGAAATAGGTCTTTTTTTTTTTTTTTTTTAACAGAGGTTTATTTAGGAAAGTAGATACACAGTCAAAGGAGAACAGGGGCCACCAAGAGAGGCACCTTTGGGGTGGAGCAAGGAATATACATTCTCTCCAGAGGGAGAGAAACAGGGTCTTTAAGATACTATCAAGTATTGAGGAGGCCAGACAGGATTAGGGTGGGTCTTAAATCCAATGACAGACATCCTCATAAGGAGAGGGACATTTGGACACACAGAGGAAGAGGCTATGTGAAGACAGGAGAGATCAGAGTAACACTACCCCAAGTCAGGGAACCTAGGAGCCACCAAGAGCTAGGAGAGAGGCAAAGGATTATCTCGGGGAGCCTCCAGAGAAAACCAGTCCTGCTGGCACTGCGATTCTGAATTACTGGCCTTTGGAACCTTGAAGGTAAATTCCTATTGCTTATGTCACCTCAAGGCAGTCACAG